GAAAGGTAGCAGCATTAAGGAATGATATATATAAAAAATAGTCAATTATATATTTACAATAATTGCAAAATTCTTTTATATTATTTTATTTATAAAATAAAAATACAAATTTGCAATATATATTAGCTATATAATTATATATATTATATATATATATATATATATATATATATATATATATTACAATAAATAGAGAATAAAGAAGAAGAAATTTATTTTCAAGTGAGTGATGTTTATTTGCAACAATAAATATTACTCACTTGAAAATAAAATTTGCTTCGTTAGACGATGCCGTTTGCGAATTGGTTTCAGGATTTCGTTCGAATAAAATTTAGAATAAGAGTGTAATCGTATTTTTATATACCGTGTTGCTATCACAACTATTAATTTTATTTTATGTGAATTTTCTAATGTATTAATATTTTCACAATTTAGATTTGGAAAGATATTATTGTCTAAACTCAATGAATGTTTTACTTTGCTTAATACTTTTAAATTAAGATTAGGATCTGTAAGATTGCTAAAATTGTTTGTTTGTATGTTGATTTGTCGCTCTGTTTCTATTATGATTTTAAATACACTATTATCTGGAATTAGTAAACCTCCATTATTAGCAAAATCTAAAAACTTAGAATAAATACTTGAATGGACATAATTATGGTCGCTTCTTTGCTTTTGTAAATTGATGGCACAAGTATAACAATCTATCTGTGACAATAATTTTTTTATAATGTATCCAGCGATATAAAATAAAATATTTTCTTTTAATGTGCCGTAATTAGATAGTGAATAATTATTAAATGTTTCTATTTCATTGTCACTTTCATCGTCTATACTTTCAAATATTGCATTTTGTTGCTTCTTTTTCTTCCAAATAAATTGATACATTGTACCAGTGGGATCACTATCTAAATGTAAACAGTTGCTATTTGGTGAGCCTTTTATTTCATTTCTTAGAAGAATTTGTCTCATGGCATATTTGAACTGTAAAACATTTGGGTTGTTATTGTAACCATGTCTGCTTCTAATTTTTGAGAAGAATATTTCTAAATAATCTTGCGAAAATTTGTACGTCAAGATATATTTAAAGGATTCTCTTTCTGAAAATATTTCTTTTGCCACAGCTAATATAGATTTAACTGTTGTAGCCATTCCACATATAAATGTTCTTCTGCCACTCATGCAAAGCATATCACCAGTTTTAGTTTTTAATGAGAATAAATAACTTATTTTTTCAATGATTATTGCTTCTAACGCATTAAAGTTATTTCGAGTTATAGGTGCATGAAATCCTATCCCAAAAGGATTCCTGGAATTCATAAAGTCAAATAATCTGTCTATAGCCTTAATAAATGTTATTGTAGCTTCAGAGTCGTGAAATTCAGGACAATATTGTTTTAAAAATTCAATTGCTGTTGCAACAGATGAACTTAACGTCTGAGCGGCATATTTAACCTTCATTTTGTTTTGCCACCAATTAATGCATTGCGATTTAATTTGTTTTTAAATCGAAAAGTTAATTGATTCTGCAATTAATATAATTGTATTATATATCGCCATTCAATATTACCATCATCTGTACGAAATTCTTTAAAATCTGCTAACGCATTACGAGCTAATTTCAACATATGACATGCGTCCAATATGACATAAACATTATAATCTCGTGTAGGATGCTTAAAACTATTAACAATAGATTCATAATTATTTACATAAATACTACATCCTAGCTTATTTAATGCGCTTATATTAACGGTTGCACCGTCGCATGTGATAGATCGTATTTTTAACTCGCTATTACTTGTTAAAGATAAGGCAGTCAATATTAATTCTGCAAGTGTCGCAGCAGATAAAGATTTCTTCAAAAAATAAGCTATGGGCCATTTCCATTTGCCATTAAGGACAACGAGCATGAATACTAATGATTCATTTGCTAATGAATCTTTTCCTTCTATATGAATATCATTTCCATAGTCCACATATCCAACAAGTTTCCCTTCCTGTTCGCTCCACAGTAATTGCTGCCGTATCGACATGCCATCAAAAATCATGTTGCAATCTTTATCCTCTGAGGACAAATTCTTTAAAAATGAAATTATCTCTTTGTGAAACCCAGGTTCAGCATTTACAGATGAATGCCAATGTCTGATGCTCGACGGATGTGGCAAATTCAAGATCCTGCTATATATAAATAAAGCATATTATAACATGATAATTTTATTTTGTTACTTTATTTTGTTGTATTTTATAATAGACAAATATAAAACAATGTCATGCAAAACAGCAAATCATGCAAAGAAATGAAAAGAAAAAAGAAAACCAACCGGCAATAGTCATAAGCTTTAGGAGAATTATAGAATAAGGTTACAGCAAACTTCTTCACCTCCTCCGAATACCTTCTACCACTTGCAGATCGCGAATTATTTTTTATTTCGTTTTGAAAAAGATCAAGTGACATGCCTTCAAACTCGCGACTTAACATACTAAGTGCATCGGTATCACTTACATATTTCTCTTTTAATTCATCGAATAAATGTTTCATAGACTTTATTTGTTCCTCTTTTCGTTGTACACTACGTTGTAGAGTATGCAATTTTTGCTGTCCAAATTTAATCTTAGACATAAGTTTTGACTTTTCATTTTCCAGAATCGTAGAGAACACTTCTGCTTGTCTCTTTAGTTCTTGCTGATGCAATTCACGTTCATTTTGTAATTGTGTCTTTAATATTTCAATTTCATTAGAAGATTCTGTCGAAATTGCTGAAATTGTAAAATTCTCTGCGCTTTCTAATATTTCCTCGGCTGCACGTTTTCTGCTATTCACAGTTACTGCAATACAATTATCTGTTTATAGTGTAAATTAATATATATATTATTTTAACTAATAGCGTATTCGATTTGCTCGAAATGCAACATTACAAAATATTAGAAACGCATAAATTAATTATGCGTTTATATATCACTTACATTTGTCATTTAATACTTTGAAGGGATCATAATTCTCTTTGTTGTCACTCATCCGCACAATACATTTCCTCGGAAGAACTCCAGGTTTTAGGAATAACCTGTCATTCGAACGATAATAGTCATCATTATCAAAATGTAAACTGCATATTTGAGAGGTATTAGTCGGTTGCCAATTTGTTCTGCCCACAAATAATATCCATGATTCTAAAATGTCTTTATTCTGAAGTGGAAATCTAGAAAATATTTGACATTATTTATATTGATTATATTGATTTATATATTGATTAAACTATTAAGATATTATTTCTACTTACCTAAAAAGGCTGATATTTTTTTGCTTATCTGCCTTCTTTTGGTAGCCAAGAACACAACAACACATTGGCATTTTTACTTTTATTCACTTATTCACTTAACCTTAACTAACTTTGTGCCGTATAATCGAGTGCTGTCTTTGCGCATGCATCATCGCGCACGTACATAAGTAATATATAAGCAATGATTGGACGATCCCCCACTATCGCCAAAGTCAACCAATGAAAGCCGCATTCCACAGTACCTCCACTTGTACATAGATTTCTTGGTCATTATCTCTGCTGAGATCACGCAAGCTAGCGGTCTAGTGTATATTAGAAGTCTGTGATTGGAGCTCGCCGATCCGGACTTCTTAGCAACGGACCCAGTGGACATCCTTCTAGGAGCTGACGTCTACGCTACCATCCTCCAGGAAGGACTTCGGCGGGGTAAGTCACAGGAATCTGTGGCACAAAAAACGGCGTTGGGCTGGATTTTGTCGGGGGCCGCCGGTGCGACATCCACTCCGCGTCGCGCACTGGCACATCACTGTCTGGTCGAGAAAGACCTGGGTGCTCTAGTACAAAAGTTCTGGCAGCAAGAAGAGCTCTCTGACACCGCTGTAGTGCTCTCGCTCGCGGACCAGGAGTGCGAGAACTTCTTCCACCAGACCCACTCGCGATCCGCTGACGGTCGGTACGTCGTACGTCTGCCGGTCGTTTCTCCGCTGCCAGACTTCTCAACAACGCGCTCCACGGCTCTGCGGATCCTTTTCAGCATGGAGAGACGCTTCGCTCGGGATCCTCCCTTTCATGCGCTTTACGCGGACTTCATGTGGCAGTACGAAGACTTGCACCACATGTCGCGCGTGACTCCAGGTGTCGCATCAAATAGGCCGGTACATTACTTGCCGCATCACGGCGTTCTGCGAAGGAGCAGCGTCACCACGAAGCTGCGCGTGGTCTTCAACGGCTCTACGCCTACTATTTCGGGCAAAACCCTGAACGACCATCTTATGGTGGGTCCGAATTTGCTGCCTCCCCTCTCCGACGTGCTACTCCGTTGGCGATAGCACCGATACGTCCTAGCCACCGACGTCGAGAAAATGTTCCGGCAGATCCTGGTCCACCCAGACGAGGGATCTCCAAAGAGTTCTGTGGCGGGATTTCAAACAAAATAATCCTGTGGAGTACCAGCTAAGCACGGTAACCTACGGCCTAGCGTGTGCGCCGTTTTTGGCGATGCGCACCCTGAGACAACTAGCCGAGGACGAAGATAAGCAGTACCCTCTGGGAGCAGCTGCACTCCAACGAGACGTCTACATGGACGACATCTTGACAGGAGCATCGACGATTGCGGAGACCCAGGAAGTGTGCAAGCAGCTGTCCGATATTTGTATGGCGGGCGGCTTTCCTCTCCGGAAGTGGTCGGCCAATGACTCAGCCGTGATCTCGGACATCCCGCCGGAGCATCGATTGCAGAGCGAGATCCGTGACTGGCGACCGCACGAGACTCACTCCACCTTGGGGCTGCAGTGGCACCCCGCTACGGACGAATTCTCCTTCGCCATCCGGCATATGGCGTTACCGTCCGTCACCAAGAGATCCGTGCTGTCCTTGGTGGCGCAGCTGTTCGATTCTCTCAGCTAGTTGACGCCAGTCGTGGTTCATGTCAAGATCGCCTTTCAGTCCACCTGGCTCCAAGGACTTGAGTGGGATGCCCCGCTCGACGATGCCTCCGCAATGAACTGGATCAACTTCCACGCTCAGATACCGGTACTCGAGCAAATCCGAGTACCCCGTTGGATCAATCTAGGTCCGTCTTGTGTCCACTTCGAGGTCCATGGCTTCTCCGACGCCTCTGAACGGGCGTATTCCGTCGTAGTGTACCTGAGGACAAGGTCAAACGACTCATGGGTTGTTAACCTAATCGCCGCCAAAACAAAGGTCACACCACTCAAGCAGGTATCGTTACCTCGCTTGGAGCTATGCGCTGCCGTCCTTCTCTGCCACCTAGTCAAACACGCTATGACGATCTTCGACCTAGCTGCGCCACTTCACCTGTGGACGGACTCCACCGTCACGCTGGGCTGGATCCGCGGCCACCCATCTAGGTGGCAGACCTACGTTGCGAATCGCGTCTCCGAGATCCAGAGGACCACCCCGCAGACTGCGTGGCATCACATCTTCGGTCAGGACAACCCAGCCGACTGCGCTTCCCGTGGTCTCTCTCCCAAGGAACTGCTGGGTCATCCACTGTGGTGGCAAGGTCCGTCTTGGCTAAGGTTGGAAACTGCCGCATGGCCGACTACCGTCGGTCATAACGTCGAGGAGCCCCTGCTGGAGAGGCGCACCCGAGTCCACGCCGAAGTGACAGCGGCACCAACGAGCGAGGCCGCTGAGTTGGTGCGATTCTCCTCCCTGAAGAGACTCCTGCGCGTTACAGCCTGGTGCCGACGGTGGCTGAGCGTGAAGGCAGGTCATGCAGCTATCACTCGCCGGCGCTCCCCCGGGACTCTATCTGCTGACGAGATAGAGGAGGCTCGAGTTTCCTGGATCCGGCGAGTACAATCAAACCATTTCGGGGCCGATTTAAAGTTGACAAGTCAGGATCTCGCTCTCGGTAAATCAAACTCACTCGCTCGTTTCAGTCCCTTTTTAGATGCTGAGGGTCTCCTGCGGGTTGGAGGTCGGCTCAAGCACTCCATCTTGACCTATGACGAGCGTCATCCCGTCCTCCTGCCAAAGGACTCGCACCTCACCCGGCTAATCGTGGACGACTGCCATCAACGAGCGTTGCACGGCGGAACGCAGCTCACATTGTCGCTAATCCGCCAGCAATATTGGATTCCACGAGGTCAAGCGATAGTTAAGGGGGCTATCTCGCGATGCATCACTTGTGTGCGATGGCGGGCGGCAACCCCACAGCAGTTGATGGGCGATCTTCCACGGGAAGGAGTGGTACCTGCGAGGCCCTTCCTCCACACCGGGGTCGACTATGCCGGGCCGATCCAACTCCGCACGACCAAGGGGCGCGGACACCGCTCTTACAAGGCCTTCGTGGCGATCTTCGTCTGCCTTGCTTCCAAAGCCGTGCATCTCGAAGTGGTCTCCGACTATACGTCCGAGGCCTTCCTTGCGGCTCTCAGACGATTCGTCTTTCGTCGCGGCATCTGTCGCAGTCTCCGGAGTGACTGCGGAACCACCTTCGTGGGGGCCGATGCTGAGCTAAGGGCCCTCTTCACCACTGGTACTCCGGGAAACCACCGGGTCATCAACAGACTCGCCTCCGAGAAAATTGAGTGGAAGTTCAATCCTCCCTCAGCGCCACACTTCGGAGGTATTTGGGAGACCGCAGTCAAATCGCTCAAACACCACCTTCGACGAGTGATTGGCGACGCCAAACTAACATACGAAGAGATGAGCACCCCCCTCACTCAAGTCGAGGCGTGTCTGAATTCGCGGCCACTACAAGCGCTCTCGGACGACCCTGAAGATCTAGCTGCATTGACGCCCGGACACTTCCTGGTGGGAGCCGCCCTGACTGCCGTGCCCGAGCCGTCCTTGCTGGATCAACCGGCGTCTTATCCCGCTGGCAGCTCCTGCAAAAGATGCGAGATCACTTTTGGGAGCGCTGGTCGAAGGAGTACCTCCACTCCATAACTCACCGTCCTAAATGGTTGCGCAAAGAGACGAGCTTCAAGGTCGGCCGACTATGTCTTCTCCGGAACGAGCTCACACCGCCCACGAAATGGCCACTCGCACGAATCACCAAAATCCACCCTGGAGAGGATGGTCAAGTTCGCGTCGTCACAGTGCGCATCGCAGCTTCCGAGTTCATACGACCCGTCGTTAAACTCGTCGTACTGCCCATCAACGGCCGCGAGGATTACGAGCCTCAACCGTAATAAATTAGATCCCGCGAGTATCAAAGTTTAAAAAATACATTCTGCATAGCGGTCAGTGCATCCACTGCTAAATTGCTCAATTTCGCCAAACGCTCTCGGCGAGGCGGGCGGAATGTTCGAAACACATTTCAAACGTATGTATATATTCACAAAAAAAGGTTAAATTAGAAATTATCACTCCATAAGTGGAGAAAGGACGAGGGCCCGACCGCTTATTCTGCGCTCCTGGCGGCCGATAGCGCAATATCGCTTTGTCAGCGCAAATTCGAAAACAGCGCTCGCCCTTCTCGAAAGATCCGATAATAATAAATAAGTCGTTAGACCGTTCGATTTGAATGTTGTATCTATAACAGTCGAGTTCACGAAAAATCGGGATCTTTCGAGAAGGGCTCTAGTATAAATTGACGCGATCGCGGAACACTGTGCCTTTTTCGCAAAAATCTTCAGCGCGCTCACTTAGCTCTCGGATTTTAGAAAAACGTTTTTCCGTCGCTCGTGGATATTGAAATTGTTCTTCCTTGTTGGACTCTCTCTCTAACGCCGCATTAGCTTCCCTCTTTACTCGCGAATTCGCTAACAGAAATCATACACAGTAAAAAATAAATTTCTGTTAAATAATTGTAAAAAGAATAAAAAAGTAAGGTTATGATATTATTATTATAGTAATACTTAATTGTTTTGAGCATATATAATTAAAAAATTTTTTTTATTGCATGTGTAATAGCATATATGTGTAATAGCAAAGAAATCAGATAATTTAAAATTAAAAAATTTATTAATAATTTGAGAAAAAATATATAAGTATATATATAAATAATTACCTCATGCATTGAATGACACACGGTAATAGAATAGATCACAACACGTATCAATAATTTCTTCTACTTATTAAATCACATTGACCGAAAGAGAGAAACAGATCTAAATATTTATTAATCAAATAAAAATGTAATAAAAGAATAAGTGCAAATACGTTCAGAAGGCATCAAACTGTGGGTAATAAAACTGTTGGCAAGATGGCGAGCCAGCCAATTTTTCACGCATGCGCAGCAAATACGCGGCATGAATGTCGCATGAATTTATTGCAGAAACATATTCTGAATGTAACATTTGTAATATTACATTTATAATTTATATATTATATAACTTATATGTAATTTTATGGTAACTTAGTTATGTTACTTTTGAATAACAATTTATATTACTGTTATATTACGTAAATGTAAAAATTATAATATTACTTGTTACTTCAGAGATATGTAATTGTTATATTCTGTGTTTAGTGGGAAAGAAACTTATACTTTTTTTTTTTAAATTTGCAAAAATAGGATAGAAATTCAGCTCCTAGACTAGAATATCCCCTTAATAATATATCTATGTACGTATGTATGCATGGAATATATATGCATGCGTATATGTGCATAATAATATAGTTATGTGTATATGTTCGCGAGCGAATCCGACAGTGGATAGTAGAAGAGGAAGATCTTTCAGTGAGAAAAAGTGCGCCTCGTTTACACGAAAAAGACAGGACTTTATTAGAGTCCAAAATTAAGAATAACAATGTTCAGTGCAGTATCGCGAGCGGTGTAGCGAGATTGCGATTGCACTAGTGGTTTTTCTAAAGTCGTATGCGGATAATCGTAGTTAAGTCGAAATAGCGGTCATTATAAGTGTTTGATCAGCGGTGTAACAAAAGAGAGATATGCGGAAGTCTAAGTGAATAAGCGATCGTATAATGAAATAGCGGTTTTAACAGAGCGGTTTAGCGAAGCGGTTTGACAAAGCGGTTTGACTAGCGAAAAGTGCGAGACTCCGAAAAGTGCACGACTTTGGTGGGTCCACACGTCGTGCTCATTTTATTAGATTTCTAGATTAGATTAACAAAAAGAAATGTTCTTTTACATGTATGTTCTAAATTGTACTGTAACATCCCAATCACACTAATATAAATAATTAACTTTAAAGTAATTTTTTACAAGAAAAATGAAAATAAATTGTACACAGTACATTTCTTGTATACAATTCAATTATGATTTTTTCCAGGAAATTATTGATAAACTTTTAATTTCCAATATGCATTGTCGTAACTATAATATAGAAACTGTTATCTTCTGATACAATTTATATTCGAACAAAAAGTGCACGCAACCAACTTAGCTTCATATATAGTTGGCGTAAGAACATATATTCTTTTATATATTTTTTACTTTATTAGAATATTAGAATATTCACTAAAGAATATCACAGACAATACAAATCTATTCTATAAATATTCACTGAAGGATATTTATAGAATAGATTTGTATTGTCTGTGATATTCTTTAATGAATATTCTAATAAAGTAAAAAATATATAAAAGAATATGTATTCTTACGTCAACTATATATGAGGCTAAGTCGATTGCGTGCATTTTTTGTTCGAATATAAATTGTGTCAAAAGATAATAGTTTCTATATTATAGTTATAACAATGTATTTTGCAAATTAAAAGTTTATCAATAATTTCTTAGAGGAAATCAAAATTAAATTGTATACAAGAAATGTACTTGTACAATTTATTTTTATTTCTTGTAAAAAATTATTTTAAAGTTAATTATTTATATTAGTGTGACTGGGATGGGACAGTACAATTTAGAACATACATGTAAAAGAATATTTCTTTTTGTTAATCTAATCTAGAAATCTTATTCAGAATAATCTCTAAACTTATTCAAAATATTTTGAACATAGTTTCATTTTTGATATTCTATGCAGATTTATAAACTACTTTTTTTTTCATTTCATTAAAATATTTTCTGAAGGATATTTATAGAATAGATTTGTATTGTCTGTGATATTCTTTAGTGAATATTCTATTAATGTAAAAAAAAGTATAATAAAGTAAAAAAAAAGTATTTTATGAATCTACATAGAATGTCAAAATAAGATCATTCTAAATATTTTGAATAAATTAATTGTATAAAGTATGTATCTTGTGTACAATTTATTTTAGTTTTTTGTATCAAATTATTGATGGATTTTTTTATTAATTTTCAGTGTGTATTATCATTGCTATTACTATAGATAGTTACTATAGTACTATCTTCCTGTAATATATTTAAGGGGTAATGCCACTTTAGCGCCCAAAAAAACAGCCTAATTTTGATAATTTTTTATGAGAATATAGTGAATGGAATACAAAATCTGTTTAAAGGTTTTTATATTGGGTTGTCCGGAAAGTCCGTGCGGATTTTTAAGCAAAATTCGAATGAAAAAATTTTGTTGTTAAAAGTTATTTCATTCTGTGATATATGCACCATTATTTTGCACAATACTTTTCCATCTTTCGGGTAATTTCATAATTCCTCTCTCATAGAAGTCTTGGGTTTTTTTGGCGAAGAAGCTGTCCAAGTAGTTTTTGAGGAGTTGCAAAGAAGCAAAGTTCAAACCATTAATTGAGTTTTGTAGCGACCGAAATAAATGAAAATCCGAGGGTGCAATATCGGGGGAATACGGTGGATGAGGCAAAACATCCCAGCCAAACGCCAATAATTTTTGGCGAGTCTGCAAACTTGCATGAGGTCTGGCGTTATCATGATGAAAAACGACGCCTTTCCTATTGATCAATTCCGGACACTTTTTGGCGATTTCTATCTTCAATTTATCCAACTGTGAACAGTACTTGTCCGAATCGATGGTTTCGTTGTCCGGTAGTAGCTCATAATATACTATCCCCTTCCAATTCCACCAAATGCAGAGCATTACCTTTTTCGGATGTAAGCCTGCCTTCGAAGTGGTTAATGGCGGTTCACCTCGCTTGCTCCACGACCTTTTACGCTCGACATTATTATAAATTATCCACTTTTCGTCGCCTGTTATGATGCGTTTTAAAAATGAATCGTATTCATTGCGTTTGTATAGCAAATCGCTGATGGAAATGCGGTCAATACGATTTTTCTCAGTTAAGTCGTGCGGCACGCAAACATCAAGCTTTTTTACCATCTGGAGCTTGTTTAAATGTTCGGAAACAGTTGATTTGCCAATGTTTAACCTCGCTGCGATTTCCCGAACTGTGATCTGCCGCTCGGAATCGATTAAAGCTGTTATTTGGTCGACATCAGTGGTGACTGGCCGACCAGAGCGAGGAGCATCTTCAATATTCATTTCTCCTGAACGAAATTTAGCAAACCACTTCTGACACATGCGATCACTTACGGCATCTTCCCCGTATACGGCACATATTTTTTTTCGAGTTTGTGTCCCGTTCTTTCCTTTACGGAAATAAAAAAGCATTATGCATCGAAAAAACACGTTATTTCCTTCCATCTCTAAACTAATGTCAAGTAAAAAGTTTTTAATTTATTGGGATAATTAATATCACTAAGTATGCATTGAAATGTCACTAATCAAAACACGAAAGCATTTGACATATCACATCGACATAAACTTGTAAAATTCGCCTTTGAACGACATCTATTGAGAAATCCGCACGAACTTTCCGGACAACCCAATACATACTTTGAAATGTATTCACAAATTTTTTTTTCAATTTTTTTTTACAAAATGGCGATGCCAGAATTCAGCAAAGGAAGTCTCTTCTCACGGATAGTGTTCCGCGGCCGAAAACATAACTTTATCAGATCTTCATTAATTTACTTGAAATTTTAACTGTAGCTTCAAAATTACATTATCTAAAGAAGTACATACGGATTTTAAATTTCATTGTAAACTTTTTTTGTTATGAACAATTTTTCATGTAATTTTTTACCTAAAA